AGGATTTATGGAGGAGTCAGCCCTGATTGTGTCTCAAAAAACCCCCTCTTGTGGTCTGAAAGCTCCTTCTTTTGAGCTGTATTCAGCAGTATCCCACTTGCACAGTGGATTTTAAATAGGGACGTGGCAACTACAACCCTCCTGGGTTTCACCCTTCCATCGGGGACAGGACTGTATGACTGCTCTCTGAGGTGTAACACTTGCTCATATGTAATTTCTTTATGCGACCACTGATGAAACCCGCACTGCCACTGTGCCTGCTTCAGAAACTGAGCACATTTCTGGAGATGTCACTTGAAAGCCAGTAGGGGTATGAATTTTAATGAATATATCAGGTTAGCCACTTGAGATATTCCCAGCAATGGGATAACCTAACACTTGGAATAGCTAGCAAGAGCTAAAAATAAGGAGGAAGAGTCACCATTCAAGATCAAACTTTGGAAAAAGCACAGCACATGATTTCTCTCCTGTAATAGTGTAAGTATTCAAGAAGAATGTACTTGGGTTAAATTATTTCTTGAGATGGAGCTCCAAGACAGTATTTCCCCATATCAAATATCATTTTGTCAGGGCAAAGTGGTCAAAGATCTCTCTCCCCAAGCCAGATTGAGAACATCTGGCAAGACCGCCTTTAAAGAAATAAGAACAAGAGAAAAAGAAGCTAAAAAGAAGAGGACTGTCTTTTGATTCACATGAACGTGATGCTGTGGTTCTAGAGGGGCACAGTTTTTCAGAGCAGTTTGAAAATATGCAATAGGCCTGGAGAAACTCCAAGTGCAACTGGATGGAGAAGGTCTTGCAAGACTGCTTGAAATGAAACTACGTGAAGACTGCTGAAAGTGAATCAAAATCTGACAAAAGCCAAAAATGCTTCTGATGCAACACGGGACTGAGGATGTTGGGCATGCAGCCTACAGGAAGGACAAGCCGTACTGTGACTGACAACACAGAAATTCTATCTTCACGAACACAGCTACTGAGGGGATATCATCAAGAACTGCATGAGAAGGGAGGACTAGTTTAATGTGATGGCATTTTGAAGTCATTCTCCAGCCTAATGCAAAAACTTCATACCCAGGTGTAGCATTCAATTGCTGTGTTGTGAAATGAACTCTGAATAACCAAACCTGAGTAAGCAACTGAAGAGACAACTGAAAAATTTATCTTGGCTCAAAAAAAAAAATGCTACAAGAGTGACTGTGACTTAGTCATCCTGAATTGATAGGAACCAGCAGAAAAGTTTCTAAGCTGACCTCTCTTGCAGTGGAATCAAGTAAATTTAAGGTATGAAAGTCAGATGCATTTCTAAATGTGTCGACAAATATTTTACACTATAGCCTTTTTTGGGAGTTTAAAATACTCCATTTTCTCTGCCCCTAAGTTTCAGACATACAGTTCCAAGGAAGCTATCTGAGAAGCATGACTCCAAGATAGTCAAACAGCAGCTCACAGGTCCAAACCTGCAACCTTCTACAAAGTTCACTGCCGTTCTACAACTGGCAGATCCCACAGCTCTGCTTCTCCTACAGCCAGTTATAGCATTAAAATGAGTGTGTTACAATGAAAGCTTTAAATAGTAGTATTCTATGGCAGCAAATGGAAGAGGTGGACACCATTTGTAAAAATATTTTTTAAAATGAATCCTAAATGAAACCTTATACAACCTAGCATTTTACATGTTGTGCCCAAGACTTAACATTTCTTGTAATTTTTATGCTGCAGAATTGCATATGTCTTCAACTGTATTGAGGCTGCAGAACCCAAGCTCGCTCAATAAACACAGGTTGCAGTTTTTATGCTAACCTTTCAAATCCAAGTTGAATTTAAGCATCATGCTGGGAGTGGAGAAGAGCAGAATGTTTCACGACTTCTATGCAGATTTGAAAAACAAATCTGCTCAATTTGATTATTGGTCACTTTTAAGGGATACATAGTAGATGGGACAGATCCCTGCCAACAGCTGGCAGAATGGAAAATTGAGGACCTCACTTTCTACTTTTCCCTCATTCTCAAAAGGTGAGGAAAAATTACTTGAAATTTGAGGTAAACATGCTGTTCTCCCTCTACTCCCACTATGAGAAATACTTGTCGGTGGGTATGGCATTACAAGGGAAGCAGCCCATTGCCCAGTTCATGCACTTTCCTAGACAGTTTCTCACGGCTGTTGATTTTGAATGCAATATTCTCAGTTGTAACTCTCTCTGTATTCTCACCTTAGCCTTCTGACAGGGCTTTTCTGAATAGTTTATACAAAAACTTCACAACACGATTTGGTAGACAAGGGCACTGAAAAACAGTCCACTTCTGCAGTTTGTACTCATTTTCTCTTCCAATGTTTCCTTGAGAAGATGTGTTGCCTCACTAACAAACTATACAGACAGAAAAATATTCATGGCAACCACCCATTCGGGCTCATGTTTTCCATCATACTTCCTTAACAATTCAGTGAACATCCTTTTTTGTGACTATTACTGTAGGATTTGCAGCATTTGGTCTCTCAGACTTTCCTAAATCATACTGTCTCAGTACTGTAACCTTTTAATTGAAGAGACCAAGGCTTACTATAAAATTGAGTTATCCCTGCATTTAAGTTGTTTCATTTAACTGCTATGCATAGGGGGCTACACATCTAACAGAAGATGAGAAAACCCACACACAACATAGGTGTGGATGATCATTCAGCATCCCCCTTTCTACATTTAAAGAAATGATTCAGAAATTTGTTTATGCAGAGGCGAAAAATCATAATCTCAAGCTATAATTTACTGAAGTTCAAGCCTTTACACTGGATACTCCTTCGGCTGCCATGAGAAATAACATTAGTTTGCCAGTACTATGTATTCAGCTATGAATTGGTCAATGAAAAGTTATCACAGCACTCATGGTAGTGGCATTTAAAGAAACCACAGATGGTACACGGGCTATCAGCAATTTTATTGAAGTACTCTGCTTCAATACTACTTAACTCAAGTGTAAACAAAGCAGAGTCATCATAACCAGAGCACATACGTGCTATAAAATTATTAGTTCACAGATGTTTACTTCCAATACTGCAGAACTGGAAAGGTCCAACTGATGATAACAGCTTCTCGCAAACTTTGAACCAAACCACAATCTCTGCTTGGCAAGCATGACAATAATGAGAGGACATCTATTTCCTGTTTGTTTTATTTCCACATTGTGAAAGTCAAAGCAATGGTAAGGCAGAGCACTATGGCTTTGCTGACAAGGCCTCTACTCTCAGATTTCTGATCGAGCCACGGAAGGACTTACAGGACTGTCACCGTGATATAAACAGTTGTATTTACAAAAACTCATTAGATGTAGTTTCTCAGGATTGCAGACATTAATCAAGAAACAAAACAGGACTTTTCAAAAAGTCCGATGGCAAACACCACTGGTTATTGCACAAACTCCTGAGGAACTCTGGCCATCTGAAGTGGTCACTGGGACCACTTCACACCTCACAAAAGCAGCGTAGCAGAAAACAGCGCACTGCTCCAAGACGCTTCTCAAAGGGAGAAAACTTGTGCCATCATCAGCCTTACTTCTGACAGCAACTCTACTTTTCCACTGGTGTTCCTTATGTAAACTGACCCAACTTGGACATGCTGTGCTTGAAATACACTGGGCAGAAAGGCAATAATAAGAAACCAAGAAAGTCATAGGAGAACTAGGTGCAAGACATGGAGCCTCCAGAGGAAAAGAGTTGACTGGAGGATTTCCAGCAGGACAGACAGAAACCCACTGTAATAGAAGCTAGGTTTACATGGTCAAAGGCTGGAGGAGACATGGCAAGAGCCTAGAAAGGTCAGAGCACACCTCATTGAGACCGTAGAGCAGGCCGCAGAAACACTGAGCCTCACCAGCCCATGTCCTCCATGCAGGAGAGTGACAACTTGGTGTTGGTTGGTGTCATACACTCTGTTAGGACAGGGACGAAGACACCAGCAGCTCTTCTAGTGAATAATACAGATGCAAGTAGGAAGTTCTACTCTTCCACCCACACATTTTGGTTTTGAGGGGGTTTTCACATGCATGCCACACAAATATACGTGTATCAAGGTAGAAGTTAAGTGGCAAAACCAAGGAGGAAATTCTCTTAATACAGTCCCCTCGTGGTGATGAAATCAATAAAGCCAAACAGTGTGTGCACACATCTTATCCTCTGTAATACTCCCATCTTATTAAGTGCATGGTATAGATTCAGAGGAAAAATATATTGCTCTCTCTAGAAATCTTGCTTCCTTCATTGCGGAAGTTGAAGGAGGCGAGGGAGACTAGGGTGCTGGGAAGTCAGACACCTATCTTTCAAGCTATGAATTATTCTTCCATGTCTCTAATCTGAGAATCACAGAATATTCACAATTTACCAAATGAAATCAATCAAGATGTCTTTGAACATAAGTGATATATAAATGTTAGGTATTCTGAAACATCAGGTCTTTTTCACTTGAAAAGCAAGACTTTTAAGGTGGAAGGTATCTTTGCCTTACATTTCCTGATTCTCCATCTGCAAAAAGGAGTGCCCTTTCTCACCTTTCACCTCAAAGAGCTGGAAGGAAGTAAGAGGAGAAGGAGGCTACATATGTGAAGAATCTGGCACAAGGAAATTTAATAACACTGTTTTCAAAGCCAAGTACTAATTGCATGCAACAAAGGAAAAAGCACCAGATTCTTAAAGAATCAGAATCACACATTAATAAATATTGGCTCAATATGTAAACACTATTTCCAAGCACACTGAAAGTGCAATCCTTTAAGAGGCGAAAAAACCCTATCTATATCATTAAAAGTTGATATATCATTATGCACGACTGCAAGAGGGGCATAGGGATCATAAAGTTCTCAAAAAAGCACGGTGTTTTCAAACACGGTTTACATGCAACACCCTGTAAAATGGTGACAGAATATGTCTGTTGACAAGATTGTAACAATGCACATTTTCATGCTGACTCCCAAGGAATAATGCAGTCAAAAAAATACTTAAAATTCCATACCTTGATTATTTCCACCAACTGATCCACACCACTGTCACCTGGAAAGATTGGTTGTCCTAGTAACAGTTCAGCCAATACACAGCCCGCTGACCACACATCTAAAGAGGGGAAAGTGGAGGACAGGGAAAGGTATCAGTAAAAGGTACATATTAGGCCATTTATATAAAAACATCAGTTTTAAGCTACTTACTTTCTTCTTTGCCATGTTTAATTCTGCATATAATACAGCTAAAGAAAACACAGATACCTGGCATAAAGCAATGGTTGGCAGGCAGTCTTAGAAGTCAAACCATGAGACAATGAGAACTGGAAAAATCACAGTATCACAGAGTATCTCGAGTTGGAAGGGATCCATAAGGATCATCAGTCCAACTCCCTGCCCCTCACAGGACTACCTAAAACTAAACCATATGACTAAGAGTGTTGTCCAGACACTCCTTGAACTCTGACAGACTTGGTTTCGTGACCACTGCCCTGGGCAGCCTGTTCCAGTGACCAACCACCCTCTCAGTGAAGAACCGTTTCCTAATGTTAAGCCCATATAATATAATATTGACATTAAAACTTATACAAGTAGGAAAGACCTGAGAACATTTGCCATCTGAAAATTAATAATTTCCCAAAACCTTGTGTTGTTTTTAAATCACATTGATCATGAACTATGCATAGGTATCATCTCCACAACGGCTGATGTTTTCACTGTTTCTGAATGTTGAATAGACTCAATTTTTCATCCATATATTGAAAGCATATATACACTAGCAGATAAACCAGTACTGCAAGTATTACTTGCAGCCTGCAGTACATGATGATTAAGGATCTTGGAGACAGTCTCTCTAACTCAGTCACATCAAGACCTAATCTTTATCCCGATTCCATTTGCAAACTTGGCTGGACAACAGAACTGCAAGTCACAGGTCAGATCAACAGCATCCATCGAAGAAGCCATCAACTAATTTTCATACATATACCAAAAGCCACAAGTAGTCACTAGCAGCTACTCCTCTACATGAAGAAAATTTTCATAATCTATTACAGGTATATCTTCTTACATATAAATAAAACAATTCAATACTACAACAGCAACTTAAGAATGTATCTAAGTGTACTACAGAATGTAGCATTTTATTTTTGAAACATAGTTAATACGAACGAAAAAGCTAACGAAGCAAATGCAGTAAACACTGCATAGCAGATGTTTGTGAGAATTTGCTGTAACTGCACCAAATACTGAAGTTTAAGCTGTTCAACACACTGAAAGTATTGCACCTAGATGCAGAGATAACTGTTTCTCCAAAAAAAACAGATTGACTGTAAGGTTTTCTAGAAAGTCATCATTTGTTCCATGTATATCTGAAACCTTACACTAAAATCTAACCTCAAACAAGCGATCAGTAGCAGAAGATTTGTAAAGCCTACAATACTGTAATTCCCCAAAAGGGAAAAGAACAAAACCAGTCCTACTCCACCCATCTTTCTTTGAACTCCTCGCCTACTTTTACAAGCTATCCTTCCCCGCGAAATAACAGCAGCACCACCCAGAGAATTTACCTCCTGGGGCCTGTTCCAACCTGAGATAACCCACGCTACAACAGAGATCCTTATTCCCCTCGTGTATTTAAACTATGCCATTGGGAAGCAGGATACACACAGCAGCGTCAGTTATGGCTAAAGGTCTGTGTAAGGAAAACATCTCTGACATCCTCTAAACAGTCTATTATCACTTTGTCACAACCACTAGAGACTGATGTGAAAAATAATTAAAAAAATCCTTTCAGGAATTCAAGATTGATAACAAAACAATCTGCAAGTTAGAACAGACTTTTCCTTCCCCCATTTCTAAATGAAAGAGAGGGGCTATGCAAAAATACTTCCCCCTCCTCTCAAGAAAAACATGGTTCAGTTTTAACATACGGCAGACAAAAAGCACTGCTCATTACTGCAGCTTTCAAAATCGTTCACGTCTAAGTCAAATGGATGCATTTTTACATAATGCCTTAGTACAAACATCGCATTAGGGTTTACCCTAAAAAGTAACTACTTACGATACAAACAGCAACCAGAAAAAATCTGAAGTTTGAGTCTTGAATTCCAACAAGCAAACAAACCACATTACGCTTTTTGATCTTTTAGTCATATTTAATAAAAGCTGATATGGCCACCAAGGTGCTAAGATCTCTTTTTGACAAAAAATAAAAGCGGCATCATGTAAAGAACATTTAATTGCATCCAACTGCTAAACAATGTCTCTCTGATAGCTCCTGCTGTTAGACCAACACATACAACAAAAAGATGATGCAAAGAATCACTTTTTAATGTCATCCCATGCATACTGGGTTTATAGGAAATCACACAACAGTTCAACAGATAGCATAGACTTCTTCAGAAATACTGAAGAAACAGATTAAATGTACTAAGCAGTCAGAGTACTGTAACTTAAAAGTCTATTTAAAGCACCTCAAAGGGTTTTGAAAAAGCTGAGTCCTTTACACTGAGTATACAAAACAAGTGGTACCCCAAAGCTATAATCATTATTTACAACTTCAATCCTTATTTTGCACTGAAAGAGAAACAATATATGGGAAGGAAAAGTATTTGACAGAACATTCACAAACCCAAAGCTGACGTGAGAGTAAGTCAGCATTCGCAACTCACTTCCTTTTAAAATCCTGAAGCCACGCTAGCGTGATTTTTTTCGAATTAGACTGGCTTTTTAAAACTGTTTTAAATAACCTTCTGGTCTGGCTGCTCCATGAAGTTGGCTTTGTGCTGTCTGAAAGGCAGAAGTCTCGAATCCATTGCAGAAGTTTTGTAAAAACAGTGGGGAGAGCATGCATCAGTGATGCTGCTGAGGAGAGGAGTGCTCAGTCCCTGCGGGACGCGCCGGGCTTGCCCCCACCCAGCTAAACTGCAGCTGCAAACAAGTCGAAGGATGTGCAGATCCTTGCTGAAGCAAGGAGGCCCAGCAGAAACAGCAGAGGGTGCATGAGAAAGCTGAGAGCATTGCAGGGGGAGAGAGGAGAAAAAGAAAGGATGTAGGTCATGAGGAAATAGCTGGGCAAGTCTGAGGAATACCTGCTGTATTCGTGATGGGTTTAATCCATCCAACATACAACAAATCCATTGGAAACCTATGTAGTTGCTCCTTGTGCAGCAAAATCTTCCAAATCGGGTGATTTAATGCCTTGTTAAAAGTCTATTTAGTTTTTCTTGATTTTACTTGCTAATGCTTTAAACAGGCACTGAAATAAGCTACAGGTGTTCCAAAATCCCCAACTTTTTTCCAGGGGTGCAATTTCACTGACTTCCAAATTAGGACTCGGGCAATGTCCCCTGGGCAAGGAAGTGAACAAACCCTTGAAGCATCTTCAGTGAAAGCCAGAGAGTGGAGGCTAACTTCAGCAGCTCCAAGCAGGGACAGCAATAAAACACAATTTACACAGGTGTTTATAAACTCTGGTGAACCATGTACAATAAGGAAGAAACTGGGAAATTTCAGCTCTGCTGAAGCTTGATGGAATTTATGCTATCGACTTTAACAGGACTAAAATTTGGCTCCAGGATAGTTTGCCCCCCCACCCCCCCCTTAAATCTGGCATTTTAAAATTTATCTTCCAAATTTGGATGGTAACATTTTTCTCAAGCCTGAAGTAAACAATGTACTAAATTCTGTATTTAAAGACATGTTACTTAAGAGAAGTGATAAGGTAGTTAATACTCATTTTTGATAGCTCCTTCTGAGACCCTTTTCTGCCTCAGCACAGTCACAGCTAACTATTATAGGTTAATAAACTTTCAGAGTAAGTTTGCGGTGTAACTACCAGCTCCCATGGGAGGAAAAGCATTTTCTGAACTATTTCTTTTTAATATGTGCAATTTACTTAAGGCGAAATATGACTATGATTCACATGCTTTAAACTAGTTAATAAACAAGATAGGAGAGAACCTTAACAGAAAACAAGAGTCAAGTCAACAAATCATCTTTATGCCAAACTAGTTGGGACAATGTGAAATTTTAGGAGAAAACACTGAAAGCTATTAATTTTAAGTAGAAGAAAGTAGGCAAGGCTACTTTCTTCATATCTTTGGTGAAATGTAGTCTAAACAATATGGACAGTAAATGCAACTGCCAGCCAAAAGCAACCTTCAAAGCAGCTTATTTCAGATAGCTTTCACACATTATAATAGTAGCTAATGACATATCTTTTGTAGACTGAAGGACACTTAGACAAATACCATTATGACATGAACTACCTGCACTAATTTAAGCACACAAAAATTCATATAGCCTCTTATACTACAAAACTTTTCTTACATTAATTTAAGTTTCTATTACTTTATTGATCTTCACAGTTGTTAGGTGGACATTAACTTGTCTAATAAGATCATCTGTATAATTCCCTTGCTTTTGAATGCCATTCCAGCATTGGAGAAGGTAAAAAAAGGAAAATTTCTCTTTAGTTCAGGAAGAGGCATCCAGCAGAACAACCTGCAAAGTACACTCCCTAGCTTTAATTGTACAAGTGGGCAATGGCTATTTCCAGCTGTCTGTGGCAGAATATCCTGCCCATTAATTTCATTTTTGTGATCTCAAACTCTGCCCTTCCAAGCTGAGAAGCTGGCCTTGTTCTTCACGGCATAAGCACCACTCATCGTATTATGCTCCAGCTCCTCTAACTTGTTATTTGGAGGACATGAAGAAGAAAAAAATTTGAGCCTGCTCTCATCCATTTAGTACAAATTAAGAACTTTCCTTTCTCTGACACTTTATGGGGCACATTTACCTTTCTATGTTTTTTTCCCCATATCTATTCATCTTTGCCCCGCTATCTCTTGATCATGATGGACTTCTTCCATCTTGGAGGTGACTCAAAGTTGCTGCTCTGGAAACAAACTAGCAGGGAAGAAACTAGGAGTCAGAAAAGAAGCCCTAGGAAGTCGTAAAACCAGCAGCTTCTAGTTGCCAAATGCCAGAGCACAAAGTGCTTTTCATTGCTGCTTGTTTGGAACACTTTTTGGGATGTCAGAACGAGAGCAAAATTCTGGATTACGGGCACGCATGCTATGTCAGTGCAAGTTTTGCACATCAAGCCACCACAGATCATGGAGACAGAATAAGGCTGAAACCTGAAATGCTTGGAAAGCCATGCTTGTTCCAGTACTTAGAACAAAAGCTAAACACAGGTATCTCTATTTTTCTGCAATGAAGAGATGAAACTACAATGATAGGTGATAGAATATTTCAGTAAATTAATGCCTGTGCTTAATTTTCAGCGTTGGAAGTTGCCATCCGAGATACAGAGGCAAATACTTTTCACTGTTTGGCAACAGGTTTGAGACACACCTCGTGATGGTTCTTCCCCAGGAAACTCTGAGACAGTCCAACTACACACACCTCCAGAGGAGCTTCTGCTCCAGCCTGCTGAGGTGAAATACTCTCTCCCTCTGTCTTAGCACTCGCTAGGAAAGTAAATGATTAACTTTGAGATACTTATTTTTGGACACCCCAAGAGAAGCCAGTGATACAGCCCAGGTCTGCTGGCTGACACACACAGAGGCATTAACTGCAGTAAATGTGTTTTGATGCTACTCTTACCATCATATATATTTAGATACGGCACTAATGCAGTACTTTACAAAACACTACCCCTGGCTGTGAGTTATTTTTAAAGGGACCTTTTGGGTTAGAATTTAAGTCATGCACTTTGATGAAATAATCAAGATCCTAGAAGCTAAAAGCCAGTTTACAGTTCTGTTGTGACATCCAGGATGAAAACACACATCCTGGAACCAACTTTAGTTTCTGCTACACTGAAGAGCAAGTAACATCCCAAGGACAAATTCATGTGTTAAAAGACAACCTACACGAAGCCAGACAGCCCAATTCAACTCCTGGTTACAGTGCTAAACAAGATGACTAACTACTGAAATGGTCATGATGCAGGCTGGCTGTACTGTCAGTCTTGGGCCACCACAGTGGCACTGCCTAGCTTTAAAAAGCACTTCCTGCTCAGAAATACTCCCAATAATTACTGTATTGCAGCGTCTTATAATCATAAGCCTTGCAGTAACGTTAGCAAACAAAAAAACCTCAGGGAAACAGCTGGATGCCTTGCAGAATACGTATGAAAGAGTTCTACTTAGAACACTTTTTGGCTTCATATTCTTCTCTCATTTTATTTTTAATGTAGTTTTAACATAGCATATTTAAACATAAGAGTGAAGATCCCTACATCACATTTAAGCTCAGTTTTTGTTACTCCTCCCACCCCCATGTGAATTCTTATGCAGAGAAAAAGACTACAGCAGGAAAAGACTGTTGTGCTAATAATTCAAAAGAAAACAAGAACTAGAAAACCAAAGCATGTCCACATTAAAAAAAAAAAAAAGGTTTAAAATGCAGTATTACAATACTGATGCATCTCATGTTTTCCTATAGTTTGAGTTATGGATAAATTACTGATAATTAAATGTTCTTTCCTCTCCCTCTCTTTTAAGAAATCTATCTGTGCCTGTTGGTTGGTATACAAATGCTGCTGGTTGAGTTTGGACGAGTAATCCTATGTGAAATAGGGAAGAGTTCTCACTAAGCAGTGCTGCTGCCTATCTAGCAAGAACTAAGGAATTTCATGGTATTTACCACCACTGGAAGCAGCATCATCACAAAACTAAACCCCTAGAATTTCTAACATACTGCAGAACATTGGGAAACTGCAAAGTAAGTTTGTAAAAGCATTTTATTACTTCCCAGCTCCCAAACGCAAAGATTTTGTGGCTAAGGAAGTGGAGGGAGAAAAGGGTAGGAAGAAAGGCGTATTTGCTGAACTTCATTTTCAAGCTATTCTGTGCAAGTTTCATTTAAATTGATTTGTCCAGAGAAGGGGCTTGGGGAGACAGGAGTTTTTGGGGGGCATGAGAAAGTCTGAACCACAACAATTTAAATTAATGATGTTTTCGGCAAGTGGAAAATGGAGTCCTCATTTTAGAATGATTCATTTATTAGAACTATTTTAAAGACCAGCAGATAAGAAAACAAAAAAAAGGAAAGAGCAACTTTAACAAGGTTCTGCAAAAAAGTGCAAGATTAAAGTCATTATAGAGTTGGAGCAAGAGACATTTCACAGACTTATCTACAAAGCAGTCTCTTCTGGTGACACCTAAAATATTTGGTTTATGCAGTTATCCTCTGAAACAAGTTGTCTCAGTGCACTCTGATAACGCAGCTGAGCCAATCTATTAGCTCTCAGCTGGCAAAAAGATGTCAACAAGGATCAGCTACCTTCCTCTCGCTCATGAGCTCCCGCCACTTTGCTTTTACCTGGGCTCTGCTGCTTATCGGACTACACAGCAATGTTGATCCAACTCACTAATGTAGCAGAAAGTTAACCTAAGCAAAATAGAAGTCTCTTGTCAATTGAAGCCAAACCGGCATATTAAACAGTAAACCATGAGAGCCAGGGTATCCAGGGGCAAGAAAGAGTAGGGCTAGGGCTGCCACTTTTGGCAGTGGCCAATTGTTAAATAAGTTCTGCCTTTTTATCTTTATTGTGCCATTACTTTCCCCAGACTACTGGTTCTGCCTTTTTTTTATAGCAGGGGAGATGTGCGAGTGTTGCTGTAATAACAGCAACAGCAAGAATAACTAATGGAAAAAAAAATTAGCAAGAGCAGGTAAGTCTTCAGGAGCACGTCTATTTTCAAAAAACTACAGAATTGAAATGAGCCAATGAGTTCAATACTAGTTAGAACATACTAACTTTAAACACACTTTAATGGGTTATAAACATATTCTGCCAAGACTTGATCATGATCTCCAAATCCTTTTGAACGTATTAAACCTTGCCTAAGCGACTCAAGTCCATAAGCAAGGTAAAAGCTTAGCACAACAGTGGGGAACCTGAAAGCCAAATCTCGTCTCTTCAGCACCAGCCTTCAGAAAGAGCCCAGGGAATATCTTGACTAAAAAACTGAAGAAGTAACCCATAACCAGCCAACGCATTGCTGTTCATTTTTACGATTTTTCATTTTGCCATGCATTTTTATGATTCCACTGTATGAAAACCTGGCTATTCCCTGTCCTCTGCCAAAGCCTCCAGCTTCCCTAACATTTCCATGACATAGCTACGTGCCAGGTATTAGAAAGAAGTCTTCTTCATGTTCCAAATTAATGACTAAAGGGCAGCAAAAGTTAACAGAGTGAGTTGACTAGAAAGACTACTGTATGCAATATATTAAAACTGTCAAGAGAGTTTAAAGCCAATCATCAGACCACATTTTCTCTCCCACTAAAAACACTTCACTAAAAGCCAAGTAAATAAGTGACAGAATTATTCATGTCTAAATCACAGCATATCAGATGCAGTAGTTGATATTTCTACAATCCTTCTTTACAGTTATTTTAAGTCATCAAATGCTTTTTCGGCTTGAGATCTCATACCTACTTTTAAACTAAATAGCAAAATTTCCTGGAGAGCTGAAAAACGTTTTGTTTGAAACCAGACTTCCCCCCATACATTAAAAAAGCCCCTTTCCTAATGCAATGGACACCAAAATCTCAAAAGGCATAGAAATCACAGCAGCCATCTACAAAATCTGTGTATTTCATTTGGAAGTGGTACTTGACCATTTACAATATAATTCTGTGTCTCAGCATCATATCCGAGATCTCTGGAAACCTTTACACTTAACTACAGAATAAAAACATATGCAGCCAGTATAGATTTCAACAAATACACATGCATACCTATACTGGAGGTATAATCGGTGGCTCCAAAGATCAACTCTGGTGCCCTGTAGTACCGAGAGCAGATGTATGAGACATTAGGTTCTCCACGAACCAGCTGTTTTGCACTGAAAAGGAAACAAAATAATCTTTCAGTAATGAATAGTTTTAAAATATTGCAGTGCAGACCAACATTAAGCTTTGGCAGTCTTCACCCACACCCAAATCCTAAATGCTGAAGTACCATGTTCTTCTAAGCTGATGTAAGCCACAGACCCCATGATTTACTGTGAAATCAGTCCAATCCATCAAGCAGCTACCTTGTACTGGACACAGCAAAGGAAATTCTGACTACAATCTAGGCGATAAATAGGGTCAGATTTTTTGGCTGGCAGTTGTCTTTCGCCAGGTACAAGGGTTTGTTTACAAAGAAAAAGAGGACAGAATACGGTTCAGTCAAATGTAGTTACCTTTTAAGGTTCAAAAGTTCTGGATACTTTTGGGGTTTTTTGTTTGTTTTTTTAAACTTCCATCAGAATATTCTGGCTCTTTGCTGTTTAAGGGAGTGTGGTATGAGGCAAAAGGGGTATGAGGAGAAAAAGGGGGAAAAAAATTTTGCCAGTGTAGTCACATGTTAATGGTCCATGATTAACATGAAGGCTTCATTTATACTGGAAGAGATCAGCCACAAAGGATCTAACCTACAGTAACCACTACCTTTGGAAGCATCTAAGAAAATAAAGGAACACGAGAGCACATTACTTTTGGAACATGAGTCTATGAACAAATACTTTTTTTAATTAACACCAAGTGTTAGATGGAAAGGAGCTGGAAAACAAAACTGCCCTTTTAGAAATATGACATTAAACTAAGTAGCACCAAACCCAGCTGAGTGGCAAGCCAGCCAAATCCAACGTCCAGCCTTCCAGACACTCCTCTCAGCCTTCAGGGAAGAAGGACTCCCACCACCCATTTAGCCTGTTTTAAAAAGTCTCAGGTTTACGTTTTCTATATAGAAACTACGGTTAACAAATTCCCACTGTTAACACAGAGGAATTGCCACCTTTTTATGCACTGTTACTTTTGAGTTTCAGTGCGATTCCTATTCTGCTCCAACACCAGTGAGGCAGAGCTGGGGAGGAGATTCCCGAGCCACGAGGCATGACGATGCACTGCTTGAATAACCACCATCTGACATTCCCACCCACTACGGGCAAGCAAATTTAGCAACAGCAGCTTCAGTGACCCCTCGCACATATGCCCTAACTATTTTAGTCTGCAAAGTTATAGCACAATCTAAAGACTGAACTTTCCCGGAGAGAAATCTGTCTCCTGTCTCAGTGTGGATTCCCACAATTTCTGTATCAGTTCTAAGATGAGGGCTGGACTCTAAAGGTGACTCACTTGAATGGATACTGGAAATAAATGTGCCATTGGAACCTAGGACATGGACGTCCACTATCTAAGAGCTTCAATTAGAAGTGTTGCTTCTGATCTTGAGCCTCTACAGTATTTGAAATATTAATTAACTTGGTGTACATACAAGTAGACTAATAAAGTGTAACATTAGCCCTTTCAGGTTACTATACCACTGTGCCTGTCCTCTCTTCCCCAAACACATTTCACCCTAATATTTGGTTGTATTTTTCCCTATGCAACAGCATATTTATTTTATTTTTTGACTACCTGCACAAATAACAGCCTTGAATTTTAATTCCCTTCATATTGATTTGTAGTTTCAAAACTACAAATGAAGACCTCCACAGGAACACAGAGGGTTTCTCTGCAAAATTGCACCCAGGTTCACTTTGAAAGAAGCTCTTCTCACCAGGCTTCAGGCCACAGACGCGCTTACCTTCCAAAGTCACAGAGTTTTAGAACAGCTGTGTCAGGGTCCAGCAAGAGGTTCTGTGGTTTTATATCCCGGTGGCAGATCCCAAAGGAATGGATATAGGCTAAACTCCGGAACAGCTGATACATGTACAACTGGAACACAGAAACATTGCATGAGGCATGCTTTCCCAGTCAAAACAGGGTAAACAATTAATTTAGCACAAACTCTTCTTAGAAGAAAAACAAAATCACTCAAAAAAGACCCTACTGAATGCATATTAGAGCTATGAAGATGGGCAAGGTATTTGCATACCTTCCTTACCGCCCTTTGCTACACACCCACACACGCAGTTCAAGTTTGTTCATTTGTCCTTCCAAAAATGAGCACAATTCCAAAAAAATTTGTGCCATCTTTCCAACATTTATAGATAACAGTAGTCATAAAAAAAAAATACACAAAATAAAAGGTGTTTCAGTTTGCTTTATAAATCAGCCTCTTCATAGAAATTAAGTATTCCAGGTTATGTAAGGAAAAAAAACAACAACCAAAAACACAACAAAGAAAACCCTTTCGTTAATGAAGTTAACAACATATTAAATGTTGTCCAAGGACTATGGTAGTGTTTCAGCCTGTCACTTGAGTGAATCTCTCAGTTTCTCTTGGTGAGGGGACAGACTTATTTTAATTTCAAATCTCTGGGCAAAAAGAGAGGGCAGATAAAAACAACTGTTCAGGATAATTTTATGCAAGGCACAAGCAAACAAGTATGCTGAGGGAGGGTTTGCTCTGCCCCCTATCCAAGGCTAACCAGCCCCTTAGCAGGGAGAAATACAGCAAGGGGAAGCATTATGAAGCCAAGAGCTTCGCAGGGCAAGATTACAGGGCAAGGGGAGGATGTCCAGCTGCTGGAGCTACACACTTTTTGGCTATGGACAACAAAGAGCTGCTGGACACAATTAGGACTGTATAAAAGGCATGGGAAGCCCTGTTTCAAGGTTGACAACAGGCTGCCAGGTTATTTGTTATCTTTGTTGTGTCTCCCCCAAGGTTCCACTAAAAATAAATAAATAAATCAATCAAGCTACAGGCAGGACATTGTACCGGAGTTGCAACTCCACGCTTTCTTTTCTAAGCTCATTCTCCACAGTTCACCTTTAATGGTCTGTAAAAACCAGGTGCAATTGCTAGATATTGCTATCAAGTCATGTTTGCCTCACTTTCACCACTATCTTTGTCTTTCATTCTTTCTCTCTCCCTTTTTTCTTTTTGTTTGGTGGGGAAGGTAGGAGCAGGAAGAGAATTGCCTGAATTTTGGCTCTAAGTCTTTAGCTTTCATATTTGTTTCTCAAAACTACAACTCTGCACTAAAAAAAGCAAACAAACATGTCTTCTGAATTGCTTGTTCTAGACACGTGAAGTATGTATTGTGCAAGTGTACTGCAAAATAATCCAAAAGATTGCTCTAACTTGAGAAGTCAAGTCAACACATGCGGGATTTAGAAAGTATGCCTTTCATCTGCACTCAGCAAACCCAAAATTTCCAGGAATTTCTTACAGCACATTAGAGGTTACAAATAAAAATTAACGAAAAGATTACTAGAAAAGCTTCCTTGCAGTTCTTTAACAGTTTCTTTGTTACCCAGGAAAGAGCAGCTCTCTGCCTGCCTAGGTATCAATCAGAAGTGAACACACAGTATGATCTGACCTTTGTGTAGCCAAGATGTCTGGAAAATTGCAAAAGCTTTAATGACATCAAGGTAACACGATCCTTTTAAATACAGGATTATGAGAAAGGCTTGCCTTGCCAGAAAAGTAAGAACAGCCTTCCAGGCTACCTGGAATGGGAAGTCCGAAGTATCCAGCAAGATGAAAGAGTTGAAGCAGAATTTTCTCTCAAAAGATAAGTAGGGACAATTTTTTCCCAAGTCCCCATAATGAAGAACAATTAGGGCAAGAGTACTGACAAAAGCTATATAAACAATTTATCAAAAGCTAAGCTAACAAATTTTGGGGAGCATACAACCTGAAGACACGCTGTTCCACCAACAGACTACGTGGAATGACCTTGCAGTAGAAATTCTTTTTGCTGGATGACAAGATTCTGTGCTTTCTTAAAAACAGGCACCAGTACTGGCTATTGCGGAGACATGCCATATACAATTTATGCATATACGGTTATGGCACAACACTTTGTTATTGGAATAATTACTATTTGTAGTTTCTTCTTTCAATGAAATTAACGTTTTTTTTCTTAACCCCATCCTCATGTTAAAGCATTACAGGAGTCTGAAGAAATCAATATGAATCAGGAATATTCGTTGCTAATTTCCATTTAATGTTACATGGATGCCATGTTAGCAAGTTAATGCCATGTGAAAACATAATCATTTACTAGCGTGTGGATTGTGGTCATAAAACATGAAATGGAACTATGAAGACCCAGACGGGTCCCATGTTTGACACAAAAAACCTGAAATTTTATTCATTTTAACCACTTTGTAAAAGATGACAAAAGATACAGACAACTTAAGTGAGGTTTTGAGGCTATAATATGCATACAAACATCTTACTCCATGTAGCTCTTCAAGACAAGAGCCACTTAGCTCCAAGTGCAGGGAAGAGAACAAAAATAGGCCTTTCATGCCCACAACAGAAGCACATGAACTCTTACTCATACGCCAGGAAAGGAGGAAGATAAGAGATAAGAGAACACTATTCTTCCCGACATCCTCTTTCAGGTCCCGACATTTGTACTATTGTGTCTTCATCACATCAAGAAACTGAAGCTGCTAATTTGGCTGATGTCAGTCTCTATCTAAGCTGCTTAAAAACCAAAACACTGCCCCCACACTCGGTCTCCCCCACCCATTCCAAGATTTTTGTAAAGTGAGAAATCAGGAGTGCTTGCTTTAAGCCTCTTATCCTCTATTCTTCCTTCACTGTAACAAATAATCATTTTAATCTTTTTTTTTTCCTTGCCTTGCAATTTATGTGCTTCTAAAAATTTCAGAAAACTAGTTATATCAGAAAAGAGGTATCCACAGAGTCTATTCCTATAATATCCTTCTTCATCTAACCACATCTATCAGTTACCTACCTTGACATAAATCATAGGGAGTGTCTGTTTGGCCCGACTATAATGTCTGGCAACTCTGTATACTGTTTCAGGAACATAGTCCAGCACCAAGTTGAGGTACACCTCATCTTTCTGAAAGAGAATAGAGAAGAAGAAGAAAAAAAAAAAAATCAGCAATAGATTTGAAGCATGAAGTACATTAAAGCATTCAGAGAAGCCAACAGGATGAGAAAGCTGTGGACATTTTAAGTACATGTCTTTAGTGGGAGTCTGAGCTGCCGCCAAACTGTTTTTCCTTTAGGCTTTGCACTTGTGCGCCAATACTTAAGTCAAACTTATGTTTAAGGTAACATTAATTAATATGGTCTCCAACATAAGGCATTTTCTGATTATAAATGCAGACAAGGATATAATTGTTCTGCCCATTCAATATTTTCATTAGGAGATATTTCAAGGTGACACCTGCATCATTATTTAAAGCAGTCTATTAATCCATTAGTCCCTTCCCCACCAAAACCCAAGAAGTGTAAATTTAAAAGTCCCAAACTCACATCCCACAACTACACATCAAAGAAAAAGTTTAAAAATCCTGCATCTTTTAGAAATGTTACTTTGATCTTACTGAATTTCTAACTATTAAGGAATTAATAATACATATTAACCATTCATATACAGTAAGCCAGTGTTAACATTTGTAACTATTTTGTTTACACGCATTTTGATGTCCCAGTTATCTCCAACTTAAACATATGAACTTACTCATGGCAAAACAGAACAAGACAAAAACAAAGACTTGAGTATCGCTTTTAATATCTAGGATCAGGTTAGAGGTTCATGTGAACATAACACAGAGAAACAACAAATGTAGTTTTATAAGGTACTTCGTTACAGAATACATTAACAAAGGAAAGAAGGAACAAAGAGGAATTAAATGACAAAGTACTATAACCACATAGTGCCTAATTGTGGCACTGAGAATTTTCAGCAGTAAAACAGGTCTTAAAAAGACTTCCGATATTTCAATGCAGTCTTCTGTGCAAATCCTATCAAGACTGTGAATACATTTAATGTTGAGAGGTGGGTATAATTAATTATACCAACCTGAAAAATTATTTTTGAAAGCTAGGTGAATTAACCAGAAGTAACCTCTCCTGCACTTGCTGTATTAACAGCTAGATCTTTCTATAGAGAAAGATGATACACAGAGACTTTATGTGGTTGGAAACAGTACAGCACTCCCAGGTCTTCAACTGGAGTCCCTTGCCAGCAGGTCCACTGGCTACGTATCTTAATACCTGAAGACAAACCTCATTTAGCTATAGCAATTTAATAATATTACCGTGACTTAACACATCACTTTGAGCACGAAGTGTGGTGTGTTACTCTCACAGTGCTCTGTTTTCCTTACCTGTCTCTATCATGCCTCAGCAAAGAGCAGCAGTCTCCAATGAGTAAAGAAACGGTATGTGGTAACACATGCAGAAATACACACCTTGAATACACAATATGCAAAGAATTGCTGGATTTGTGTGTTGTTAAAGACTCAGAATACAAGATCTCTGTTCACCATTATTTGACAATAAACACTTGTATTTTCAGGACATTTTAATAGCTCTTACCAATACCTTCTAATAGGCCAAGTCACCTTGCAAGGCCCTGCCTATATCACTCTTCCCTACAAAAAGATGCTCTTTTTTTAATATAATTGCTTAAATGACAGTGGTAATAGCACCAGCACTAAGCAAATGCCAATGGCCCACTAACTTGTATCTGCTCGTATGGTAATTCTGCAACGTAGACAAGGAGCAGCAGCCTCCAAAACCGTGCCTACGCTGGTGCCTCTCCCAGTGTCATCCCAGGAACTGGGTAACAACATGAAGGAATCTGGAGACCAGGCTGGAGAACAAACTTCTGGAAATGGACGAAGAGGGACAACTACCAGCAGTGCAGAGGAAATACCAGACGGCTCTGGAACTCCATGGATGCGCAAACATATGCAAGAAAATAACGTACTTGTATTTTAGCGCTTTCCCTTCTGCAACAAGAGAAGTTCTTCCTTCCCTGACTCTCACTTCAAGCCAGTAAAAATCCACCAGCACCTCTTCTTAGGTCAGTGCTTTCCAAGGTATTAATCATAAAATACAGAAAATAAATGTCCTGAAAAATCAAACTTAACTTATGCCTGGCAAGGCAATCTCTACACCAAGAGAAAAAAAAACACAGTCTCATGAATATGAATTCTGTTTGATTCAGTGTAGATACAACCTGATGAATATATTTAACGCTTGCCTCCTCTTGGAGAGTGAGAAAGTCTTATTGGTAACAAGTCACTGCACAAAGTACTCTGTTACTGAGATTGATTACTTTCATTCAGAGGATTCATGTTCCATGTATCAAAAAGATTTACATGAGAGATTAGAGAAACAGAAAAAAATGAGTAGAAATGGAATTACAGTGATTTCATTATCCTCTCATAGTACAAGTAAAGGAGACGTAAACCAGTAATACGTATGATCATTAAACCCCATCCACGCTACTTCACAACAGCGAGTTTTGAGAATTACAGTACTCTATTCAGTTCATACCACCTTTGTTTTACTTTCTTCTCCTCCATTTTGATTTTTATTTTATGTTTTGTTGGAAATGGGACTAATTCAATGGCATAGCATGACACAAGCACAGAAAGATCAAGGCATCTGAATCACTAGAGGGAGGTTTTGCACCCACCCACCAATCCTTATGAGTTTTTATGCTACCCATAGTACTTGAACAAACTACATGGGTTTCACATGGTATTGCTCCCGTGTAAATGTGTATCGCACATTATCACCTAGAAGACACGAAGGCACATGAACACCTTTCCCCCAACCAGCAAACAAGTTTTGATGTACCATTTGATGTACCCAGAACTTTAATATGCAAGTACAAAGGCAAGGCTTATGGTGTTGACTATGTAAGTAGCAGTATACTCCCTCCTATCACAAGCAACTGCCACTTCAGAAGTGGCCTAAATGACTACTTTCATGAATTAAAGATGATTCAAGTGTTCTGACCTACCTTCTCCTGATGTAACCTGGCACAAATCTGATAAACACTCAAAATACGGTTTTCAAGAGCCCTCACCCTTCTCTGTGAGCATGAACTGGATGAAAATAACATCCAAGTTACCTGGATTCCCCTGAACAAGATTCAGTACAAGCTAGAAAGCAGACATGGCCTGACAAGCTCTGAGGATGATGTAACCTGGTTTGCCTACCTCATGCATTCCTCTTAAACACATATTTTTCCAGTGACCCAGATGTATTGCAATAGGAAACAGGGTTAGCTCAAAGAGCTTGCCAAATGAGGGCAACTGCTTGAGGATAAAGCGGGAGCTTATCTTTCCATTACAGGAAGCCTTTTTCAAACCCTCCACATATTCCACACACAACTTGTTTCCACACTGCTGTTTCAAAATCGCTGGGCTGGGAACCAACCAAGGTAACCTAACCATCAGGAGCACCTCTGAAATGCCTCTATGGAGAACAGAAAGGTCCAGAGGAGACTGCATCATATAAATGACAGAAAGCAAACACAAGGCGTCATTTAATAACGCACTGCTCCCTACAGACACTGGGATTGAATAGATTATTAGCTCTCCTCAGTAGGTCAGATGTTCATGTGCATCCATGTTCTTCCGTGCTTGCTGCTAAGGTTATGACCATGTACTCTTCAAAATGAAAAAGGGGGGGACGGCAGGGAGCCAGATCATGAAAAACAGGATAAATGTATTTCATAATGATTCTGATTTTAGCAATGCGGCTCATGTACCTGCAATTGCCTCAAATGTTAGAAGCTGCTTTTTTGTCACTTGGCAGATAAATCCTCAGTTGACAAACACTGCTCCGAAATGAGCCAGAGCAAAATAACCACAGCCTTGCCATTGAACTGCTCTGCACCTCTCAAGAACTGACACTTGAGGCACCATTTCACTTTGGTTGGAAACACTTCAGATAAGTAGATACTAATACAGACTATGAAATAATAAGGGGCATGAGAAAGACTAGGACACAAGAACCAAAACATTCTAGCAACTTCATTTTTTTCTTTGTATCAGAAATTGGAGATTCTGCTGCAAGTACCACTACTCTAGCACATGAGCCTTACACGTTACGTGGCTGAAGACTGAGTGAAATTGAAAACATTACCCTACTGACATAGGAAAGGCTGCATGGAGGTCTCAAACTCCACTTTTAAAACTCTTCCGTCCTTTAGTCCACACAAGTAATCTGTTTTAAGCACCATCCAGTTGAGCTTAACTATGGCCAATATAAAGCAACAGCTACTGAATTCAAAGATTCGCTCTTCTGGATTGTTCCTTGCAGGGAAAGTACAAATATTCATTCTCTATGATCCTCCCCCACCTCAACAAACCCCAAATTAATCCTGAGTGATTTCTATCAGCTTTCATTAATTTTTTTTCATGTATCACACACACTACATTTACAACATGCATGTATAACACTGCAATCAACATTAGTCACAGTCTGACTATTTCCCCTATTTACCACCAACACGATGATAGAAGCCAGGGAGGTCATACATGCCAAACGCCAGACGAGGGCAAAAGCAAAAATCACAGGGCATACTCTGAAGAATATGTCAGCACCTAGTAAGATGTTAGAAGTTCTCCTGAACTGGAATCTAAGGAAAATTTCTCTGAGCGTCAAGTAATAGGATAAAAAGGTTAAGAAACTATTATGGGTGCTCTTTCTTCTAGGGTGACTAAATTTACTGGTCAGCATTTGGAAAGAAGGATGAACATGCTCATTTTGGTTTTCATCTGGCAGATCAGTAACAGTGTGGTGGTGGTTCTGGTGTGGTTTGCAGGTGGTTTTTTGCCCCTTTTTTTAAAAATTTTTAAATCCTAGATCATTTGAGCTAGTTTTCAGATGGACTCCATGTGATCAGCTATATGAGCACAACTTAGAGGAGATGAACAACACAGGAGTTTCTTAAACTAACTTTGCATTTGGAGAAATAAATGTGGAACTACACTCTGAAGAAACTCGCTTTTACCTACCTATTCAAGCTCAAAGCACACAGGTAAGAGATAAACCTGAAATTAAGGAATATGCCTCCAGAATGCACTT